AAGAGTTTGGTGGACTGTTGTGGATACTCGCCAATGATGATAGGGAGGTCGATAGAGCCCATGGATATGACTCGATTGCCGGTGAAACCAACCAGAGGGGTTTGTAGAAGTGACAACTTCTCTTCCCTAACCTTTAGTTTGTGGTAGGCATTGAGGAAGATGATGTCTGAGGAGCTGCCATTGTCGACCAGAACTCTCTTGACTTTGTAGTTTGATAAGAGAGCAGAGATAACCAGAGGGTCGTCATGAGGATAGCGAATGCTTGTGTTGTTTGCCGCTGTAAAGGTGACCATCTTAGACCATTGCTTGGGTTGCTTGTAAGGTTGGTCCACCGTGGCTACTTCTCTGTCAGATCCTTATCTAATTTTTCGGAGCTCAGCTTGTTATGCCGACCGCGATGGTCTGCCGCACGAGAGGCCACCAACAATGACCCTTATTTCACCTAGCGAGGGAAGCGGGTCATCGTGAGCTCGGGGCTAGTGTTGAGGTCGGTCATCATTCCGCTCGGGTTGTACTAGTCGTCGGGGGGGAGTGTGTTGGCGGTTACAGTTTGGGAAGCCAGTTCTAGGCCTCTGCGGGGGACGGGCTGCTGTGAATCAGCTGAGGCGTCCCTAGTGGATTAGATCCTCTACCTGGTCTTTGATGTTGACACATTTGTCAGTGTTGTGGCCGTGGTCTTGATGGAAGCGGCAGTATTTAGATTGATCTTGCTGGTTGGAGGGAGATCTAGATGGTTGAGGCCATTTCAGGTTATAATCTCTTTGAATTTGGTTCAGAACTTGCTCCATGGATGAATTGAGAGGGTGTACCACTCGAACCGACCATGTGGGTGGGTTGGGGCCGGTCGGTCCGAGCATGCAAGCCGATCTGGGTGTGATGGGGGTCGGTATGTATATTGCGAGGGTCGGGGCTCAGGCTCTTTTCTTTTGTCCTTGGAAGACGGGGCTTTGGATGTGGAGTCTTGGTGAGTTGTCTGAGAGTCTTCAGCGTTCATCTATTTTTGGGCTTTGGCAAGAAGGGAGGCCATGGCGGTCGGGGGATTTTTGGAGAAGAAGAAGAGGAAATTGGATAGGAGCAAACCGACCATGAAGGCTGTGAGAATGACCTTGTCATCGTTTTCCTCCACTTGTAGGGCTTTGGTGTTGAAGCGGGTGACATAGCTACATAACGACTTCCCTTCAGTCTACCGAATGTTTAGCAATTGGGTGGCTGGATGTCGTTGTCGTTGAGCACTAATGAAATGGCTTAAGAAAGATTCGCTGAGTTGGCGAAATGAAATGACTGAGTCTGGGGGGAGCTGACTAAACCACAGGCGCGCTGACCCCTTCAACGTGATAGGGAAGATGCGACACATGATTTCGTTTGGAAAGGCATGTAAGATCATGAGTGTCTGATATGCTTTTTCATGGTCGACGAGATCGGTGGTACCATCGAAGGTGTCGATCGATGGAATTTTGAACTTGGGAATGAGAGCTTTATCCTGGATGGACGCTGTAAAAGAAGAGTTAACGGTGGAGGAAGTCTTGTGCAGCATGTTCTGCTTGACCCCTTGTAGTTGGAGTTTCATGGCCTGCAATTCTTCATCTTAGACAGGAGCATTATCTCCACAAACAGGGATCAGGGGTTGAACACTACTAGCCGCACCTTCATGGGCGCCTGTATAGTGTGGTAAGGGGTGGTTATGGAAAGGTGGTGGCATATCTTGGCGAAGCTGTGAGCCTGATGAGGGAGGGTGCCGACCGTCAAGATTCGACGGTTGAGGCCGCGGGGCGAAAGGTGGAAATGTTCCTCGAGGCATGTATGGTGGGAATTGATAGTGATAGTGGGCTTGTTCTTGGTGCGGGGAAACTATTGTCTGTGGTGGAGGCGGGATAGACAGGTCACGCTGGAGTAAGACATTGATCAGGGCTTGGTTCTGCTCGGTCAGTTGGTTGATACCGTTGGTGAGTTCTGCGAAATATGGAGGTGGTTTATTTGGGTTAGAGGGCTCAATTTTGGGGTTACTAGCGTTGTGTTGGAAAACCATGGATCTAGTCGTGACCATCCACTCTAACGTAGGGGGTGGATGATTACGGGGTTCCTTCTGACGACAATGAGCACAACTGTTGTTCCGGAATGGAATTTCCCACAGACGGCGCCAACTGATGATGCCATAAGTCCAACGGAAGATGGGTTGAACTGATCCACACTTCTAACGGCTTTGCTGGTCTTAAAGCCCATATAACGTTCCTGCAAAAAGGTCCAAAGGAGGAGGTAATCTCCCAGCGGACCCTCCGACGATCGAGTTAAAATAGGATAGATTGACCGTGTAAAAAGAGAAAAATGGAACGAAGAACCTAACCTTTAATGCGTCTTGGAAACTTCCTTATATCATTTACTCATCATTTCCTTGTTCACTTCAGACTGTCGTGTTGGCCGAAAGTCTATATTCTAGCTTGCATCGTTCATGGTGAGTCTGTATATTCCGACGTGAAGGGGTTGTCGTATTTAATGCTGTGAGAGCCTCATTAATGACAGATATATGGATGCAATAACTTTACAGGATCTTTGTTTGCTTATGTGGCTAGACCTCTGCTTAACAAACGTTTGAATGTTATTGGTCCTGGTCCATCATTGATTTCTCAAGATTGATGGGCTTTAATATCTAGTCTATGGGCTGGGTCCCGAGTCGGGGGCCAAACCCTTTTTGTAGGCCCACCAATATTAGTGATTATGAAAGAAGAAGTGAAATAATTATAAATTAAATATAACATTTTATCTTATTAAATATTTCACTTTGTTTTATCTTTCAATAAACTATTTTAACCTAATTCTCTTTCTAAACACGCATTCAGAGGAATGATCCAATAGCACAGAAATCCTGTACAATGTATTACCATCAACTTTTGCAACAGAGGCCAAGGCATGCGAACAAGCTATTCAATGGGCGAAAGAACAAAAGATGACATTTTCATTTGTACTTACTCTCAAAGTTTAAGACGTGTTAAGTCATAGAGTCCAATCCTTTTGGCCCTCGGCAAACATTATCGAGGCTATATGCTTTTAGTGTGTTTAAGGTTTGTAGAACAATGATTAAGCGGGCTCATGATTTTGCTCGGTCTATAAATAACTTTTCTATTTAATATTAAGGGTGAGAATTTGTGATACAATACGATAACAAGATTTAAATCGTACACAAAATTAACAGATTATGACTGATCATTTTCTAACACGAACACGTATATGATACGATTCGATAACACGAGTATTAAACAGGTCGGGTTAGTGTCAAATCTGTGCAATATGAAATTGATACAGATAACTCATATAATGAAGACCCAGTTGCACATTTTAATATTATTTTTACTAAAGAGTATTATAACATTTTTTAATCTCTACATAATTACATCTAATTTATTAAAAAGTACGTAAAATATGATTTTAAGTTTAATATATATATATATATATTGATTTTAATTGAACTTAATATATTTTTTTTTGTCTATTACTTGAATTAATTTAATAAAAAATATAATAATAAAACATAATTTTTATAAATTAAGAAAATACAATTAAGTTGAAATCAAATATTTTATAAATAATTCCATTTAATAGAGATTAGTTTTATTAAATCTAACTTGTGAATAAATTATCATTTTTTTCCCATACATTTGATACTTTTAGTTAATAGTGAAATTTTTTGATATAACACGTTAACACGACATGAATTGAACACGGACCGAAAATGACTCTGGATGATAGCATGAAATAATAAATGGGTCAGATGAGTATTAAGGTAATTATGATACGAACTTGAGATGACACAAATACGACCCAACATGACATGACACCCACCACTAATATATTAGTTGGTTGCTTGTTTTCTCAAAATATATATAATATTTATAGAAATATATTTAAAAAATTCATCAAATACAAAAAAAATATAGAGAAATACTAAAATTCAATATGTTTTCATATTATTGTTTATTTATTAAAATTTTAAAATATTTTTTTTATAAATATTTTATTTTTTAAGTGATTATAAACTATGGGTGTGGGGGTGGTTGCTATGTGGGGGGCACAATAGCCACTGTTGTGCAAACAAATGGCTTAGAGTGCACTAAAAAAATATATTTATTTATCTTTTTATTTTTTTAAACTTTTTTATAAAAAAAATCAAAAATTATATTTATTTAGATACAATTCAGTGAAAAAAGCCTTATCATTGCTACCAATAGAACACTTGAGCTCGGTTTATTTTGGGTTATAGGGAGGGGATTGAGATTTATAACCTCTGTTTGGCAAGTTGATTTTGAGGTTTTTTGAGCTAAAATAGCCACAAAAAATAAAATAAGTTTTTTAACACAATAAGACAAAACATCATATCTAACTCACAATCATTATATTATTTCTCTCATAAAAAAATGAAAATACTCAAAAAAGCTAAAAGCCCTTCCAAAACCAAACTTTTTAGCTCTGGGCTAAAATAGCCAAAAAGCCAACCTACTTCTTAAACGGAGGCATAGTGAGATGTGACCCACTAATATTATGTTTGTTTTAAGAGATGGATAGGGGAATTGTAATTCCCCCCGAACTACGAATCCCCTTAGGGAGGGGACTATTATAGGTCCGTGAGACTTGATATTAAAAATTAGTCCATCAGACTATTTTTATTTTTATTTTTATTTTTTATATCTTGGACATTTTTTTTTAAACATTAATATTTATTTTTTTATATTTTATATTAAGTAAAAATCATTATTTTATTTGTTTTATTTTATTTACAATTTTTTTATTATTCTATTATTTTTTATATATTGAGTATTTTTTTAAAAATATTACTATTTAATATTTTTTTATTTTTTTTATTATTTTATATAAAAATAATATAACAACTCCTACATTAATAACTATTATAAAATAAATATAATTTTATTTAATTCTATCACTATGAATTTATTCCATTTCACCACCGAAAACAAAGGGGTTTGAATTGTTTTCACTTCCCATACACTAGGGTCGCCCCCAGAAGATTACTGTCCCTTCGTCAGCACAATTATCGTCTCCACCAAACTACATAAACAAACAACGACCACGTAACTCATCACTCCCTCTCAGTTCATCAACACCACCTAAAAAATGGCAACCGATTTCACAAAACCAAACCCTTGTTCACTCTCCTCAGTCATCTGTATATACACTGTATTTATCATATCTATATCTGCCCCAGTCGATGCTCGAACTCTAGGGCTCAATTCCATCACCGAACTCGATGACTCTCTCGTATACCTATGGCCTCTTCCCTCAGAGTTCACTTCCGGCAACGAAACCCTAGCCGTTGATCCCGATCTCTCGCTCTCCGTCGGCGGCGAAGGCGGTGGCTCCGCCATTGTCAGCGAAGCGTTTGAGAGGTACAGAGCGATCATATTCAAACAGAGCTCGTGGTTTTCGAAGTTGAAATTGAGGGGAAACTCGGCGTACGATATCAGTAAGCTTAAGATTATTGTTCATTCCGATGATGAAGAGGTGATTATTGTTTTTGAAATTGAATTGCATTCCTTTTGGTTTTGTGGTTTTGAGATTGTTTTTGGGTGTTAAACAGATTCAACTTGGTACGGATGAGAGCTATTCTTTGTTAGTCGCGAAAAGCGATGACCGTTCGATTATTGGGGACGCTACGATTGAGGTAAACTGAGATACGAGCTTGAATTGTAAACTGATGGGATGTGTTGAACAAGAGTAGATGGAGTGAGAATGAATTTGATATGTCTTTGTTCATTGTTTGTTATGAGTTCCTTGTGTTGCTAATACTTTTCTTCTTTAGAACTAGTTTACCCAGAATTTTCATCAGTGTGATCTTCAGTTGAGGAAGAAGTAAAAGAATGTGCATTTGGTGACCATGCATGCTATGGTTTTAAAAACACAGATTTTCATCCAACTTGGTGAAGTTGTCCAAATCCAAATTTTTCTAAAATTTTGAATTTATGGCCAAAGTTTAAAAATCTGTTATTTAAAATTCTTATTTTAATCTAAATTTTGCTGAATTTCAGCCGAACTGAATTTTCAGAATTAATAATAATAAAAAAATTATAAATATGAATTATCTTGAATTTGGATTTCCAAATTTTCCCAATATTCCATATTTTTTGCTTTCTGTTTTTTATTTTAAAAATCCATTACTCTTTTATTTTTATCAATTGTTAGGTGAAGAGGTCCATGGGTTGTAGAAGCCAGAGATATCTGGTTCCCTATTCTAGCCACTGAGCTGACAGACTCTGCATCCCAAAGTTGGTATCATGAACCATAACCCCATAGGGGGGCCTTTAGAACCTGCTTCCAACCTGGGTTTGGCATCAGACTTCAGGTTGCAAGTGTGTATGCAATGCATACATACATCCAAGGGGAAGCCTGCCTAGGGGTTGTGACCTAATTCCTGGCAGATTCCCTTAAGATGGGGAGTCTGCGAAATGGAACTTCTGACAGTTTTTGTTATGGAGGACTGCTGCTTGTCGTGCCTTGTGGCTAAATGCTACTCCGTCAGCGAGCTATAAGAATTCTTAGTGTCCACAGATTGACTTCCTTACTTTATTTATCTAAAGTTAGCTGATCAGTTCAGTGATTAAGAATAAAATATGACGTGGCCATTCTTAAGACTTCAACTCATGACATGCATTATGAACTCAATTCAGTAATCTCTGGAATAATTTTGTAGTTAAGTCCTATTTGTTCCAATATATGATATTTTTCTATTGATTGAAAATTTGTATCATGTGGTTATTTATCTACTTCAATTGACATATCTAAAGATGTGTACAAATATGATTTTCTTTTTAGATGTTTTTTTCTAAGTATTGCTTTATATTCTGTTTACTGCAGGCAAATTCTGTTTTTGGAGCTTTGCGTGGGTTAGAGGTATGTATAATTTATTTATGGCCATCAAATGGCATGGTGCAATAGGTACAAATTATAGACATAGACATCAAGTATGTCATAAATAGATTGCAAAGTTCCCCAGTCTCTTATACCAAATGGGTTTTGTGGGATAACTAGTAATTGACTTGTGAATTTGGTTGTGTGTTTGTCTGGTATATGAGTGTTTGCATACGTCCGTGTGTTTCCATGTGTGTGTTTGTTTGGTTATGTATTTGTCTGGCTTTAGTGATAATTGACCCACTAGTTTTTACTCTCACTAACAATGGGTTCCCTGATTTAAATAATTCAAGTGTTCCGACAAAGCTAAAGATAAGGATAAGTATAAGGTGTATCCATCGGTGCAGTCCATAACAGACACCTGCCCACTTGTTTAATTCTCTCTTATCTTCTTTGTATTATAAATAGGGATGGTCTCACCCTTGTTGAGACAGACCGAAATTTTATGTTTACAATTTCTACTCTCTCTCTTGTAATCCTTCCAACCCCCTCTTGTAAAATAGTGGTACTTCCTCCATTAATAATATCAAGCTTTTGTGTGCACTCTCCATGATTGTAAGTATGTATGCCCTTTGTTAATACTTTAGAACAGTTATTATCTTTTCTGCAGTTTTGGCAACAACAGAAAAATTATTATCTTAATACACCTGTAGATTATTATATCCAACCGTATATATCTGAGCGTATATCAGAGTGTAATCGGCATATAGCAGAATTACAGACTCTGATTAACGAACAGATAGTTGCATGGGCGGCCAGAAGGCCTCCACCTCCTCAACAGTAAGCTAATGGGATCATATATGTTGTAATTTATTTTATTTATCTACATATTATGTGTATAATTATTCCTGGGTCTGTGCTAATGTAAGGTTAATTAATTGTTAAGGTTAGTGGGACGTCACCCAAGTCACGTAGGGTTAGGTCGTATAGCAGGGATTGCATGATTTGCATACGTCCGTGTGTTTCCATGTGTGTGTTTGTTTGGTTATGTATTTGTCTGGCTTTAGTGATAATTGACCCACTAGTTTTTACTCTCACTAACAATGGGTTCCCTGATTTAAATAATTCAAGTGTCCCATGCACCGTTGTCCTCTTGCAATAACGTGCTATGCCAGGTAGCTTAAGGGGTGATGCCAAGTTTGTCCCTAACATTTTTTATATGTAAATTTTTTATTTTTACTCTCTCCAGACATTCAGCCAATTATGTGCTTATGATTATGTAACAAAAACTGTACAAGTATACAAGGCACCATGGTACATACGGGACAGACCAAGATTTGCATATCGTGGACTTCTGCTTGGTAAGATGAAGTTCTTTCGTTGACAAGGAATGTAAATTGGAAGATTTTGTTGTAAGCCCTTCTTGGAATGCTCAAGATTTTGTTGCACATAATCTTGCAGATACTTCAAGGCACTTTTTACCTATCGATGTAATTAAGAAAATAATTGAATCCATGTCATATGCTAAGCTGGTAAGATATGTTGCTCATCATTTCTTCTCCTGCTTGCATTTCAAATTGGAATTTAGCGTGAATACTAGTCTAATTTTATCCCAACATCTTCTTCTTAAAACCTGCATGTAATTCTGATACTGAGAATTGCATTCAGTAGAACGTTCTTCATTGGCACATCATAGATGAACAGTCATTTCCACTAGAAATACCTTCATATCCAAATTTATGGAGTGGGGCATATACGAAGTGGGAGCGCTACACCATTGAAGATGCTCAAGAAATTGTCAAGTAAGATTTCTGTATTTTATTATACCATCAGATACCTGGGCTTTAAATGCTTGTAAAACCTTTTCTGTGTGCGATCACTTGTAGAATGCCAGAAAGTATTTATGCATTGCAATTTGCATCTAATTACATGTTAGACTTGCAACACCTTTGGTGAGTGCTCTTAAAGAGGTAGGGACTAGATAGTTCTGCTTTTGAGAAGCCGATGGAATATAAAAGAAATACCATGTTGAGTAGAAAAAGCAAATCCTGATGAACATCTCCACGAGCTGATAAGAAAGCTTTGCTATGGATTAGAAGCACATAAATTTGGGGAGAGGGGTGGAGTTGACGGGGACGAAACTCGTCTGATAAGCTGAGTGTAAGAAATCTTATATTACGGCAGTGAGGACTACATAGTTGGACTAGTGAAACATAATTCCATTTTAGCATTTTATTGACTGATGACACAATGTAGGATGATGTAACTGTTGTACTCTATTCTTATTGAAGGGACTGTTAAAAGCTAAAGATAGAGAACCAATATTTTTACTCTGCTGATCTTGTCATGGCCTCATCATAACAAAGGTGGGTATAGGGACTCAGAGAGAGAGAGAGAACAAAAAGTATTCAGTATCGTTTGTGCTGCAACACTCCATTTGTGTGGGTTCTACGCGAAATCCACACAAATGGATAGTCTTAGCCATTTATGGCACTGAATACTTTAGAGAGATAGAGAGAGAGAGAGTAGATGGTGTAATATTTTCATGTCTATTTTGTCTACATCATAACAATGCATCCAGATAATACTTTAGAGAATGATCTTCAGTAAATGCCATATTGCTTTAGTTGACAACAAAGAACAGAGAAAAAGATACAAAACACAAATTAGACCAGTAAGTCAGGAGAAAGCAACAACATGTAGATCATTTTCTGGTTATAGCAATTATTTTTCATGTCACTAAGTCCAAGAATAAGGACGTTAAAGAAACTAAAGGGGGAGGATTTGATTCAAAATAGCAAGCTCAAATATTAGAACTATAACATTCTCAAAAGAATGACAAAATCATACAATCCTCAACCATACAACCTGCACCTCCTATCCTCAAGGAATGATGTTTTTACCAGAGTTCCAAATCAAAAAAACTAAAGAGCGTACTTATAGCATAAAATAAGAAGGCACAATCACACATAAGCATGCACAAAAGACAAAAAAAAAACATAAGTAAATAACAAAACCTACTCACCCATAGGAAGGAAGGAGGGAGAGAGAGATAGAGAAATAGATAGATTAAAGCAATACCAGATCATAGGCAAAATTGCATAGCATTGCAAAAAGCACAGATCAAGTATATACATATTCTATCAAGGCAAGATGTCAAGCTTTGTGAAATCCTAAGTTACTGAATTCCAATAAATCAAACAGCAATATTAATAGAGAAAGCAAAGACCAGAACAAAGTAAGCAAGTAACATTGATGATCCACAAGTTGAGAAGAACTTACAGGAACCCATATTTTTCTCTAGAAAATTGACTAGAGTAGATCATATTATAGAAAAAATACAAATATATACAGCATGATTGACAATCAATATGAAAATTCAATAATCTTTTTTTATCTTGTCCATAGAACAACTCTATACATGTCACGTTATTTTTAAATAACTTACAAGACTATATATACAATTCAACGTTGCCCAAGATGCTCATAAAAAATTCATGATGCACTACAAGTCTACAACCATGCCGACTGTGCAGAATGCAAACCAGCAATTTACTCCACGTTTATACTCCTAAAGATTTCATATTCCAGCTTTCATGCGCTTGTGGTTATGTAATATGCTAACATTTTGCTTCATTCCATGTCTCCTTGCTTTTCAATTATGAAGCTTCGCCAAGATGAGAGGTACATGTTTTCTTTGAAGTTTGTTAACCTTTCAATAAGTATTTTTTTAAAATGTCTGCGTATGTGTGTGGATTTATTAGGATTACTAATCCTACAGTTTCCCCCTTATCCTTCTAATAAACTTTGTACTCTAGGAGTGTTTCTTTTGCAATTTATGTTTAAAACAATCAAATTCTTCCTCCCAGGTTGACTTGTTTAGGCTTTACTGAGTATCAGTGTTTATTTAAACATTAACTTATCCCGGGAAAAAAAAATGAGTGTTTGTTTACTCTTAGGGTTTAATTTGTGTGTCCTTTTTCTTGATGAAACATTGATAACTTTTTGGCAGGTATCAATGTTATGGCAGAGGTAGACGTACCAGGTCATGCAGAATCATGGTAAAAACTATTAGACATCAAGATGTCTTTCTGTTCCTTGTTAATCTGTACACTGAATAATTTCTTTACAGGAAAATTTTGAATATTGGAAAAGAAATTTTGCATTTGCATGTCGATTTGTGTTTCATATAGTGAGGTCAAATCTTTGAGTCCCTTTTCTGTTCTATGCTTTTGTGGCAACACATCCTTGCAAAGGGGAATGTATCCTAGTACCAGTGTTTTAAAAAGTGCGCTTAGGCGCGCGCCTAAGCTCAAGGCGAGGCAAGGCGCAGCTTTGCGTCTCAGTCATGGTGAGGCGAGGCGACACAGGGGAAGCGCTGCCTAGGCGATGAGACGAGCGCCTTATTACGAAGCGCAAGGCGAGCGCCTTGTGCGCCTCGGCTTTCTTCCACTGCAATAGGTTCTGCTCTCTTCTCCTCTTCTTCTCTTCTCTGCTTCTTCTCCTCTCTTCGCTTCTTGCCTTCTTCTTCGTCTTCGTCTTAGGCGCGCGCCTAAGCTCAAGGCGAGGCAAGGCGCAGCTTTGCGTCTCAGTCATGGTGAGGCGAGGCGACACAGGGGAAGCGCTGCCTAGGCGATGAGACGAGCGCCTTATTACGAAGCGCAAGGCGAGCGCCTTGTGCGCCTCGGCTTTCTTCCACTCCAATAGGTTCTGCTCTCTTCTCCTCTTCTTCTCTTCTCTGCTTCTTCTCCTCTCTTTGCTTCTTGCCTTCTTCTTCGTCTTCGTCTTCTCTTCTCTCCTCTTCTCTTCCCTTCTTTCGTTGTCTTCTTCTCGCTTCTATCTCACCACGATCGCTCTCTCTCTCTCTCGCCTTCTCTCTCGCGCTCGCGATCTCTCTCTCTCTCTCTCTCTCTCTCGTTCACGATCACTCTCTCTCTCTCTCGCGATGGCGATCTATCTCTCTCTCTCTTTTGTCTCTCCCTTTATCTTCTTAATTCATATATATATATATATAATATTATATAATACCGAATATATAAAATATAAAATATAATTGATTTATATATATAATATTATACAATACCTATTATATAATATATAATATACTTATAGATAATATGTAAAATAAAATACATTAATTATTTAAAAATAAACACATGTATATAAAATAAAATAAAATAATTAATTAAAACACATTATTTAAAAAATATAATAAATAAATAAAATAATATATATATATATATTAAAAAATTAATTATTTTTTTCTTCTTATTAAAAAAATTAATAATATACATATTAAATATTTGTTTATGTTGAAAATTGTGCTTTATTAATATTTTGCTTAACTTCTATAACTTGCGCCTTGCTTTGGTGAGGCGCGCGCCTTGCCTCGCGCCTCGGGGCTTAGGCTCCAGGTGACCTTGGCGCCTCGATGCGCCTAGGGCTTTTTAAAACACTGCCTAGTACCACACACACACTACTATCTCTATATGCGCTTTTTCTCAATCTATGTATGTGTGTATTATAGATGAGAATGATATTAGTGTATTGATTTCTGCTCGACTACAGATTCAGACATGTGCATAGACATGTCTTCATGCTTATAACAAGAATTCTTCATGCTCTGCCTGGGTGACCCTAGGAAATTTGATTATGCATAAAGGATAATCAAACATAAAACAGACATGATGACAGTGGCAATGCGGATTGCATATTTATAGAACCTTCGTCATTTTTCTTATGTTGAGTGGAACCTTTTAGTCTGTAGGTTCACGGTGCAAATTCTCAAAAATACTGAATGCCCGCATATTTTAATATTTACCCTGAGCATTGTTACCCAGATTTTTTTTAAGAAAACATTATTGCCCAACAAAAGCCTGGTTATCTTTGAAAAACAATGGCTGTTAGGAAAATTGAGCTGCTTGCGAACCCAGCTCATTGTTTGCTGTGAAGATTGTTCTGGCTTAAACACCATTTCAGCATTTAGGAGCTTATCTACTGAATGAGATCCTTTGAACTAATATATTTCAAACTTCTCATCTGCTTCTAATGCAGGGGTGCTGGGTATCCTGATCTTTGGCCTTCATCTTCCTGCAGAGAGCCTCTGGATGTAGCAAAAAACTTTACTTTTGATGTTATTTCTGGCATTCTGTCAGGTAAAGTTTCATTTGTTCATTTTTTTAGCAAAGGCTGCTGTTTCTTTCTGCATGTGTTCAGTTGCTGCTTTTTTATGGATGCTAAACTATATTATCTGTATATCCTATTCAACATTCTGCTACTTTGCACATTTTTGTATTTGATAACTTCCCTGAGCAATATGGGATGCATCTCTTTCCTTTGGGTCCAATGATGACAGGCTGTGCAATTAGGTGTAGCTGCCCCCCTGCCCATGAACCCACCTAACCGTGATAAGGGACGACTTTTTTCCCATGTCCCTGTCTAACTATCAAGAGACTGTACCAGTTAAACTAGCTGGTTACTTCAGTGTGAGATGCATTCTGCAGATTGCAATTAGCGCTATTATTGGCTCTCCATTATAAAAAGCATAATTGTTAAGGTTTATAGACCAATATTATGTTTGCGAATTTTTGGTTTTCCCTGAAAACACATTTTATCAAAAAAATATTGCTGAATTTATTTTTCTTGCAGGCTTCATTTGAAGTTTCTGTATAAGATTTACTACATAACTAGTAATTTTGATTGCATCACACATCGCCAGTTTCTTTATCTAGCTGGGCACCACATTGTTCATATGTCAGGTGGATTGCCATATGATATTCATGTGGATGTGTTTCTCATGATGCTTGCAGTGCAAGTAAATTTTTTTTTTAAAATTTGAAAATGCAGTACAAAGCATGCCTAATGCATGGAGGGAAAGATGAGCTCTCCATTTTGTCATCATCACCAAAAAAGAAAATAAAATAAAATTAAGGCTGTACCATATATAAATAATTGTTGTACAACGAATGCACAATTACTGACCAACCTGAAATAGTTGTCCAAGGTCATGCTGCTCAATTACCGGTTTCTTGGTGAGCACATCTTATTCATCCACCTTGACCAACTCTCGTAGTGTCATTCTTAGCATGATTAATTTTCTTTTTTGCTGGTTGCATTAACCTCCAAATTCCAACAGTTGCTTGAAATCTATATTTTGTAGTCAATGGAATCATTATCTTCCAATATATTATCTGTTTTACCTTAAGACTAAGTTGCAAGATGTGTTTGGTATCATTTTGAACACTATGTGTCATTTCTTGAAAACATATTTAACGAAAATTGAACCGAAAACTTGTTTCGGAGAAGTTTTCCGAAAGCATCCCATTTTTTAGGAAACAATTTAAAGATGTTTTCTGAATTTTCCAAAACTATTTTTACACACAAAAAAAGAAAAAGTTCTGGAAAATAATGGATATTCTCAAACTTTTCATTATTTTTGTTTCCGAAAATACGAAAAATGAAAACATTGGAAATGAAAATGATACCAAACAGATTATGTTCTGTGGTTTACCCTTTTAGGAGGTATGCAAGATTTTCTCTCCTTCTGGAGAAATTTTGGTGATTCTCATTTTTTAGTTTTTTTATTCTGCAGATATGAGGAAAATCTTTCCATTTGAGCTCTTCCACTTGGGTGGTGATGAGGTTCACACAGGTTAGTAGTAAGTGGTTTCTTATTGGGGAAATCCCTTCCTTTGTTGGTCTTTTCTTGTTGGACTAAAATTTCACCTACTCAATGAAACAGAATTTGAGTGAGAGCCCATGTGGTATTGCAAATTGCCTTATTGCATGAATTTTTCCAATTTGAATTAACATTCAAAATCTTTGAATTTGTAAATGAGTTAATTTAGATTGGTGTGGGTGATGAATGGAACATATTTTGAATATTTTGACTTTCGATAGCAAATTCTATATTTTAAAAGAAATGACCAAATTTAACTCATAAAGTAATATATATATATATATATATATTGGGGGTGTTTGGTGGAGATTATTTTAAGCTAAAAGCTGATAATTAGAAGGTAGAAACTAAAAACATCCCTCACCAAGCTTCTAGAAAGTCAATTTTTTCAGCTTATTTAAGCTATTTCTGCTTAATAAGTTATAATCAGAAGATGTACCAAATAGTCTGACACAAACTCCTAAATTAAAATAAGCTATAAATTGCTTGTATAATCCCCACAAAACACACCCATTATTTAGTTGTTAGGTTATTACAAAAAAAACCCATCTAATTGTTTAATTTGCAAGTGGGATAATTCTAAATTCATTCAGATTTTTGGGACAATTACATGATACATAAATGTTTTTTCTTGTTCAAACTGACATTTTAAAGGGTAGCAATTAAAGCAAAGAATAAGTGCTTCGTGGATTTACATCCAAAAATTGTGAAAGAGAGAAAGCCATAAACTAAAATTTTAGTTATTTTTGTTGTAATGTAATGATTCATCTTTTTTCATAAAATTAATGTGATTTTAAATTCATTGAATTATGATGTACTTCATGGCCATGAAATTTTATTGATTGTTTGTTTTATTTCTAAAACTGATTATCAAATTTGTTATTGATTGTTTCATGGCCATGAAATTTTATGTATTGGAACTGTTGTTTCTGTTGTCTTCAACTTACAAGAATAGGAGACCTCAACTAGTAAATTTCATAACTAGTTCAATTCTATAGGCAGATGCTATAGCTAATATTCACTCCCACAACCATTATATTTACGTGGTTTCAATGATTTTGAAGCTATTTTAATGATAAGGAGACATAATGATAAGAATCCCCACGAAAACACTGAGTTGTGTTTAATAATTCTCTTTATTATTGAAAAGAAGTGGTGTTCAAAAACAAAGAGAAGTTTGCTTCTATCTTTAAAGTTGCACAAATGTAAATCAAAGGTCATTTATGATCTCTATTAAATTCATTACTATTGTGTTTTAGGCTAAAGAAACACATGTAACGCCAAAGGCATTGTGTTTTCATGTTCTTTTTTTACTAACTTCCATGAAGTTGTCTCCCCTGTTACAATTTCGTTTCACATAATCTCTCTCTCCCTCTGTGTGTGTGTGTCTGCTGTGTTTGTGTGCGCGTGTGTTATGCACATTTAACTTTTTATCAGAGAGATGGTTTTAGTCTTGGACAATGAGTTTTATGCTTCTATGACTTCTAATCTTTTTGTTACATTGAAATGTTGCAGATTGTTGGACCTCTACTCCACATGTGCAGCAATGGTATGTTCCTCACCTTTTAAAGTTTATTTTTGTGACGCGAAGTCCCATGTGGTATCAGAGCTGGATGTACTGTAGGGATGGATAGGGTGCGTGTCCCAAGCCTTACGACCTAGGTGTGAGGGAGGGTATGGAGCAAAGTCCCACATCACTTAAGTACAAAGGGGATGTTAAGGGCAACCTCAATTCATAAGCTAGCTCTTGGGGTTGAGTTCTACCCAAGATTGTGTCACAATTGTCCTTATGGTTGTCAGTGACTTCCAATTCCTATAGTGAATTTGTACTTATTGAACATAATGGGCTAGGAAACAGAATATTTTGAGAGAGAGAGAACATGATGTGGTTTATGTTCTTCTAACTGAGCCTCGTGTTTATAAATTATGACCTCTCCAAGCCTGAGATTGGTATAAAGATTTCTAAGATTCATGTTTGCTACATATGGTTCCATATGCAGGCTTCAAGATCACAACATGACGGCTAAAGATGCATATCAATATTTCGTACTCAGAGTTCAAGAAATAGCCATATCCAAGAACTGGAACCCTGTCAATTGGTATGTCATGAGTTTATACTACAAAAATTTGTGACTAGGATATCTGAAGTAGATCATGCCTTGACAATTTCTGCAAGATGAGTTTTCAGGAGAGTTCCTTCTCAGTTGTTCCCATAACGATTTTATTAGGATTTAGGAATATTTTGCAGGCCAATAAAATAATATTAGGGTAACTCATCATGAAATCACGAATCAAAAGGTTTTCTGTATTCTATATTATATGCATTTATCAGAAACTCTTCATTACCGCTACAAGTATTAATAAGTTCATCAAAGGATTGATGATTAAAGAGGTGATTTCTTGTGACATATTTCTCTTGTATGTAACTTTTATTATGATAATGTTCTGAAATACAGATGGGAAGATGTGACAGTAAGGATTTTTCTTATCGCAGGCAAGAAACATTTGATGCATTTGCATCAAAACTCAACCAGCAGACTGTAGTTCATAATTGGTGAGTGTCAGATTGGATTTATGCGTGCAGTTTTACAATTGTATATCAATCCAGAGGTGTTATGGTCCAACTTATAACTCATGAAGTGCATATAAAAAAACATGGTCCAACTTGTAAACAATGTTATCTATCTGTAGGTTGGGTGGCGGTGTTTGTCCAAAGGCTGTTGCAAAAGGTTTTAGATGCATTTTCAGCAATCAAGATTTTTGGTATCTTGACCACTTAGATGTCCCGTGGGAGGGTGTCTATACTGCTGAGCCACTGGAAGGAATAAATGATGTATCTGGCCAACAACTTGTTATTGGGGGAGAAGTTTGCATGTGGGCTGAGACAGCTGATGCTTCAAATGTTCAACAAACAATATGGCCTAGGGCTGCAGCAGCTGCAGGTATGCCAATTAATACTCCACCAAAGACCTAATCGTCGTAGTTGGAATTCAATTGCCTAGTTATGAACTAGCATCTGGTAGAGCAAATGTTGTGGTTTTAAGGTGCTTCTTAGGCCCCATTTGGTGGTGTGGTGGCTTTCAATGAAGTGCTTTTGATTTAAGGGCATTGTAGAGAAGAGGTGGTGTAAAGAGTGGTTTGGTACTGTATGGTTGCTGCAATTGAGAAGCACTTTTACATCCTCTTTTTTGTTAAAACACTGTAGTTATTACTTTACTGGAAAGTGCTTTTAGGTGAACAAAACTCTACGCGTAAGTGCTTGAAAAATGCAGCCAGACATGCCCCCTAGAGGACTTCCACGGGAAAAGGGCTTTCGAACTACATGTACTGCAGTGCCAAATAGGGCCTAGGATGGCTTTGTGTGGGGAAAGGAAAAGGTGAAAAAATCAGCTTCTAGTTCATTCACGCTCCCTTCTCATTTCTTTTTCCTCCAAAAATATCTTCACAAATCTAAGATCCAAGCAGTCTAAGTAGTGACAGTAAAAGCTTGTTGAGTTGCCTTGATTGAAGTTTACCAATTAGGAGTGCTACCATCACCCTTTTAGGGGATTCACAAGTCCTATTTGTGTTTTGATCTTGTGTTAGTATTTTTCATGTCGTGATACAATATTCTAGCATGTTTGGTTTAGATAATAGTGGATATGTAAATTTATTTCTAAATTTTTGGTTCTTACTATTTTTCTTTTTCTTCTTTTTTGAGGCCTTTTCTTTTCCCTTTTTCTTGCTAAATACACTTGACTTCGTTTTCCTCCTGTAGAGCGTTTGTGGAGCAAGAGAGAGGACTTACCTGCAGGAAATATTACCATTACTGTATTACCTAGGTTCCAATACTTCAGATGTCTCTTGACGAGGCGCGGGGTTCCAGCTGCTCCAGCTACAAATAAGTATGCTCGAAGTCCTCCAAGTGGCCCGGGGTCATGCTATGCGCAATAATTCCTGTTAGACTTTTTATTCTGTAGAAAGTACAGCTTTTCCAGCAGGTTAATTTCTTTGTTGCTTCACTCCAACATCCCTGTTGTCATGGTTTTGATATCTTTGGGATTGGGAGTTGCATCTGATCTGCTTTCTGTAATTTGGAGACGACATTGTCGTTGTTGTTGTGACATGGAGTATAACTGTTACTTTTGTTTCAATTGATATGCTTTTTAGCCACCCCATGTTCTTTTTCCTATAACAGTTCCTATTCTTCAGTAACTTTTCTTTCTTGGATTTGTGTCTTGAGGGAAATTGCTTCTTTTTATACGTTGCTTGTAAAATAAATGCATCCTTCACAGTATTCCCCATGGGGGCCTGCTTCTTTTTTGCTCCCTTTGTTTCAGCGAAAAGCATTTTCTTTACAAAAAAAAAAAATTCTAGAAAACTTCTTTCAAAAGAAGGTTTGTTGTTTTCTTGTATTTGATTGTCAGTGGGTGCACACTATGCTGGTGCAATTTTATATCTAAATTTTTAAATGAGTAATATAGATTGGTTTTCATGTCTTATTAGTATTTATTTACTGGTTGTGACATGTTTATTCATTCAATTAGTAATTTTATGGCACTTTTTAAATCCAAAATTGTGTGACAAAGCTTGGAAGGTTGTTTTGAATGTGTACTTTTATATAGATGATGCTAATTCCTAATTCCTAAATTCAGTTCTTGCCCAACTTCTAAAAGGAAGCATTTGTTGAAATAGTCATAGACTGAACTTTTTTTTTTTATTTGAATATGTTCTAAGCTTGAATGACTTCAATATCAATGCTATTGACTTCCAAGGTTTGCTGACTGAGAATCTTATTGGTATAGGAGTCTTCATAACGACTTAAAAACTTTATGATTATAAATATGTGATTAAACTAATCCACACGTCTCCTCCTATGTTCCTCTTATAAATATCTTATTTTGTGTCATTTACTAACTTCCTAGTTAAAAAGAATACCTATGAGTAGTGGTGATGAAGAAACTAAAAACTCGAGTTTAATTTATGTTTGACTCATTAAAAATTCGTTTGAGTTCATTTTTATTAAGTAAATAAATTAATCTTTAATTTAGTCTTGATTTGAGAAATACGTGGAAGCTCGAAAGTTGAGTGGCTTGAATGCTCCAAGTGCCAAAATGACGTTGTTTTGGCACTCTCTACAATTTTTTTTTCTTTTTTCCTTCTTCCTTGAACTGGTTTGAAAGAAAGAGGGAGATGAGAAAGAAACAGAGAGACGAGAGAAAGAGAAAAGGAGGAAGAGAGAGGCAAGAGAGAAACATATAGGCGAGAGAAAGAGAGAAGCTAAAACTTGATCTTTGGTTGAACCATAACCCAACCCACCGCCATAGACGGAGAGGCCGAAGCTTGATGTTCGGCTGTGGATCTTTGGCTTTGTTTTGAGCCATTCGAGCTCCGTGTTTTTGAACTACGTAGTGGGGTCATTTTGATTTTGTTAAAGTTTTCAAATTGTGCTTAAACAGTCAATTACTTGTTCTACTAGATTCGATAAAGGGGAAATTCCAACACTGTGGAAATGAGAAAAAAAAAATTACAAAAACTTGTGAGGTGCAAGTGATTCTGTAATGAGGTACAAGTGAAATGTTGTAGGGGTACATATGTGACTTGCATCCCTTCATGTTTATGTAATTTTTTTTTTGTCCTACTAGAATATAATTCTCCTTTGATAAATCTCAATTTATGTAACAATATCAAACCATTCAACCTCTTCTTGACAAACATTCATTTGAAATTGGTTTAAAAATTTAACAATTCAAATTTAAACAAATTTTAAATTTTTTAAAATCAAACTTGAACCGTTTCGGCTTTGTTTCCCTATTATTAGTGATCGCTTGGAGTGCCCCTCCCTATTCCTAGGTGCAACCGGGATCAGCCTTGCAAAGCTAAATAAATTATGGGTAAATTACACTTACACCCCCTGAGATATGGGTTTAATACATTTCACCTCCTGGCATTTGGGAAATTGCACTAACCCCCTGTCATTGTAATTATCCAGACGGAATGAAAATATTGAACTCATGTACTCTTTTTTTTTTACTTTTTCTTTTTTTCCCTTTTTTGTTTACTTTTTTTTTAATGAATTTTCCTCTATTTTTTTTATCAGGAGTTGTTACCTTTTATATAAGTAGGGAGTTTGTGAAATGAGACTATTAACCACAGGGGTAAAAATGTAATTTCCAAAACGTCAAGGGATGGATAGTAATTGGACTGAACCTCAAGAGGTGTCAATGTAATTTAGCCTTAAATTATTCTGCAATGAATTTTAAGTTTATTTTTATAAACATAACTAATTACTAATATCTTCCCGTTAAAAACATTATTGCATCATGTGTTAGATATATATAAAATGACGACACCACTTTAGATTTCACATGATTCATTAATTATTTTGGGTCTATAGTTTAGAAAAATTTACCCATAAATCCTATGTTAGAGAAAGCTGTACCATTTAATCCTTTGTTTTTTTTAATGCACCATTTAGTCTTATTTTTTTTGGTAAGGTTTATTAGTTGGTTGTTAGGTTATATTAATACCCTTGGTGTGATATTGTTTTCCTATTTTGTGGCTTATTCATTTTGTGTGTTGGTATCATAACGTCTACGGGTGTAACATTACCCACACCCCCCAGCACTCAACATTAACATAACATTAGCCACAATAATAAAGTAATCAAAATAGGAGAAAACATCAACAACCAAATCACATACTCCCACACCCATAAGATGACAACTACTCTTTCTACCCATTCAGTGTACGCATTCTGTCCACCTCAAACAACATTACCCAATAAACTACCCAAACATCACCTCAAATCACAGTAACAATACACCATCGTGACCAACCATTACGCACAAACAGAACAGTCATCATACGCACATCGGAACACGATAGCACACAACATTGGAATCTGGAAAATCAAACAACATAACAAAATATATACCTGATAGATTTTTGATCATGTCATGATGTCTCACTTCTACACACCTTGCCGCAATGTTTTCGCACTAAAACAGGGTATTGCAAATGCCGTTCACCAAGCACCGTTTGATTCACACTTTATACTTAGCAAATCGTATAAACAACCACCGAATCGATGATTGAACTAACGTTTTAGGACTTTACACATCTAGGGTTTCCACCCTTCATTTTTTGGGCATAAACATTACACTAAAACTGCCATTACGGAAAATCCGACGTTCACAGAGTAAACGTTGATCCCCAGATGTGACGCCCCATATTTTTTTTTGAAACGTCATAAGATTTAAATAACGATAACTTGCTAGATAAAGTTTTAACTACTAATTAGGAACTTTTAAGTTCTTACATAGTCAAAGTCCAATGACAAAATAAAACTACAAGTTCACACACAACGTCACAACATAGTTAAATCCTAATACAAGGGATAACAGGATTTTATTTTGATAAAATCTTGACTCTAAGTCAGCCAAGGTTCGATATTGGCAGCAGCTCCAATTTCAGCCTTAGTTCCTTCTTCGACATAATCTGGCATGAAACGCCAGGGCAACAAAATATATGCCATGAGTTTTGCAACACAGTAAGAAAACGTAACCAACCTACCATTCTTTTTAAGAGAAAAATAATAATATCTAAACATGAAATAATAATATAATTATACACAGAATTTACAACCATTAGAATAATTTCAGTAATTTTTTTATAAATTAGGTGATATTCGAAATCTCACCAAAGAGATTTAACTTACCAACCACTAAGCATGGCAATGGTTAATTTGAAACCCTCCCTTGGTCAGATATTTAAGTGTTACTAACCGTAACTACCAGGGATGCCCACGTCCGGAGTTATATACCCAAGTAGTGGCATCCGTGGTCTGCCCCAAGGAAACGGTCTGCCAGGGGTAAGTAACCTCCATGTGTGCCACCTGCACATCCACCCTTATTCCAAAACCGAATACTGAAAAGGATTCAAATAAGTTCCGTGCCATCTTAGAGTTTCGCAACACAATTTACGTGAGAATTCTCAAAACCAGGGCTCACCCTGAACAACCGGTGTTAACCGCCAATCCCTTGATTTCATACACTCTTTAAAACCAAGACTCACTCTGAAAACTAGTATTAACCGTCAATTGTTAACTTTGTATATGCCGTTAATCATTTCAGTTAATTTTGATATTAATCACAAATAATTCTAAATTTTTAATCACAAGTAATGTTATACCAACTCATTAAAATTCTCAATCATAAAATATTGCATGTGTCACACAATACTAAATAAAAGTACAGAATTTAAATAAACAATTTATTTAAACCATGGTATGAAATAATAACTTAGATACAAGAATTAAACCATAAATACACACATGCACAAATTTTTGATTTACAAAATTAGACTAGCATAATATTAAAGTGGTGATTTTATCTTGTCCAGAAAAACTTTCAGAGTATGTATCTTGCAAATAAAATTATAAATACATTACTTATACAACTCTAAAACTCATATCAATCTACATGATACTCAATAAACATGTTATGGTTACTTTTCAGTAAGTATTTTCCAAAAATAACTTATAAATAATTCTAAACAAATTCCAAGGGTGTTTATGACACAGATTTGTCACATTTCCTTACATTAATTCCATGCTTAAATTTATAGAGCAAACACATAATCTAAAAATTTATCATGAAACTAGACTTCTCGAATTTCATATTTTAGTTAGAAATTATCAGATTTGACTTAGTATAGAATTTTAAATAAATTTTCAAATATATGGTAAAATCTGTCTCACAGTTTCAGATTTAGTTAGAAATTTGTATAAATTCGTAGAAAGCTCAAAAATTGTTACCAAAATTCCTGGACGAACTAGACATCATTATCAACAACTTTGTAGAAAAAATCATGTCGAAATTTTGAGTATAAAATTGTCTAAAAATTCAAGTGACATTCTGGCAGATTCAAAATAGACTATTTTCATCACAGTTTCAGATTTAGTTAAAATTTTGTATAAATTCGTAGAAAGCTCAAAAATTGTTACCAAAATTTTCTGGATAAACTAGACATCATTATCAACAACTTTGTAGAAGAAATCATTTCAAAATTTTGAGTATAAAATTATCTAAAAATTTGGGTAACATGCTGGCAGATTCAAAACAGAGTATCCTCAACACAGTTTAGACAATGTATCATATGTATACAATCTGAAAATTTCAATTATGTAAAAAAAATGAGAGGATTGAGAGGGTCTTCTTACCTAGTAGTAGGATTGAAATGGGTGATGAAATGATAGAAGAATTTGTTTCCTAAACCTTCTTGTCTTCTTCTCCTTCTGCTGAATTCTTCTTCCCTATTTCTTCCTCACCCGTCAAAAGGAATACATGCATGCAAACACTGAAACCTACCCTTCTATGCATGACTATTATGTGCATTACATAGACCTCCGAGGCTAGCTCGCTCTCTCTCTCTCTCTCACTTTCTCTCTCTCTCTGCCATTACCTTTCTCCAAGTTCTAAGAATAAGTTTTCCCTAAATTTTATGGTTTCCTAAATTCTAAGAGATGGTGGGTTTGGTAGGAACTGTGGGTTGTTTGCCCACGGTTTGTCTGTTTGTATACACATATATATATTTTATTTATTTATTTATTTTATTTATTTATTTATTTATTTATTTTTTTAACAATAATTATTGAACATCCACAACATTTTTATTCTTAATAGGGTCTTTGTTAGCGATAGAATTGGGTTAATTTAAAAAAACTAATAATTTAATTTATTTATTTATTTTCTTTCAAGAATAATTTAAATATGGATTTTCACACAAGAATCTTTCCATTTCCCCAACTTCAACACCAACAAGGAATGAAATGAATTTTACCCAATTTCGTAATTTCCCCCTCTGTAAAATACCATTGTTGTCCATTACTTTGTAACCCCATACCACATTACGAAAGCCCTTATTGGTAATATTGTGTATAATAGGACCTTCCCGTCTATAAGAAATCTTTCAGGACCAAATAGTGCATAAGTCCACAATTTAGGATTTATTGGTGCATCACTCTATAGTTTATAAGTTTGATTTATTTTATTTTATTTTATTTTCATTCAAAATTTTTTTATTTTTTATTTATAAAATTCACTTAGACTAGATGATTTTATTTAAAAGTTTTAAAAATCATCTAATCTAGATAGATTAAAAAAATTAAAAACTTAGATTTAAATGTTAAAAAAAAAATTACTAAAAGACAGTTTATTCTAAAAAGTTGGTTAAAAGTCAATTCTTTATCAGTTTTTTGAAAAAATATATAAAACAATAAAGAACAGATGTGACCAAAAAAAAACTACTCCCTCCGTCCCAAAATATTAGTCCCTTATTCCATTTTTCATTGTCCCAAAATATTAGTCCCTCTTCAAAAATCAAGTACAAAAATAATATAAATTTCCTATTTTACCCTTCTTTTAAATTAATAAACAACATAAAAAGTACAATTATGCATTGATATTTTCAAAAAATGTACTATCAAAAGGATAATTTTGGAAAATCAACTTTTTTCAAATGTAATAATTGTACTACCAAAAAAAGTTGAATTCCCTAAAAAAGACTATTATTTTGGGACGGAGGGAGTAAAACACCAACCTTTTAACTTTTAAATCAATTGCCAAAATAGATGGATGCATTTCCACAAATCCCAATTCCCAAATGTTCAATCTTACAAAAACAAATTGAATGGTCCGGACGGTCTTCACTCTAGGTTCGGAACAGTCTGATCTAATTCGGTCTATTGGGTTCACTTTTGAGTTCTTTTTTCATAATTAAAACTGTACATATTTTAAGATTTATTGAGTATATTATTCTTATAAAAAATCATATAAGTTGGATAACGGATACTATATATTCGGATCACTTTTGTTTAGAAAAAAATAAACGTTCAGAAAATTAACGGTTCATAAAAAAAATGATCCGAATATAAAGTATCTGTTATCTAATCGACGTGATTTTTTACAGGAATAATGTACTCAACAAATTTTAAAATGCGAACGATTCAAATTATTAAAAAAAATTCAAAAATAGGCCTAATGGGCTGAATTGGATCCTTCAGTCCACCATCTCAGTCCACCATTTAGACTGGAGACAAGTCCCAGCCTACATTTAGGAGTTGTTTGGAATGACCTAAATAAGTGTACTTTTTGTCGTTTTACAAAAAGATGTGCAGAAAAGTAGAGAGGCGATGTGATGGAAAAAAGATAAAAAAATAAAGAGATAAAAAGATGAATTATTTGAGGTATGCCAAACTTGACCTTAATAGTAATGGGTCAAAATGAGAATATTTAATACTAAGGGTAGAAAGTATAATTTTTTCAAAAATGTTAAAAACAAAATTTGAAGAAGACTGTGTGATACACTGTTCCCCTCTGCGCTCGGGCTTACATTAGGGATTCACTCTATAGGATCTGCACTCCTCTCACTCTCTCTCTCTCGGCTGCGTTCGCATAGCTTTTCATGTAAGTCTCGAATCTAACATCTCTCTCTCTCTCTCTCTCTCTCTCTCTCTGTCTCTGTACACAGTCACAAATATACACACACAAGCTCACACTCACACAGTCACACTCACACTCACACTCACGAATCACCCACAAAACCCTAAAAAAATACCAAAAAAAAAACTGTATGGTATTTCCTCTCCTCTACTGAAATTTAGTCAATCTAGCTTTACTCTACTCTGAGATCCTAGGTTTCATAAATCTCATACGCATACCCTTTGATTTACTCTTAATATATTGAATTTTATATTTATTTTTTGCTTCACTTGGTTGATTTGTTCTTGAATTGGATTTGCAGGTGAAATCTATGGAGTTGAAATCAGGTACTTTTGTTGTTTCTGTTTAACCACATTTTTTTATTTAATTTTTTTCCCTTCAAACCAAGCACAGAAAAAAAAAATTAGGGTTTTCCGATTTAGTTTGGTGGGTGATACATTTGGGGATTTGAAGTGGGTATGTTGGGTAAGGATGATGCCGCCTCCAGTTGTGGAGGGGGAGGAGGAGGTGGTGGGGGGGGCTCTCGGGAGCCCTGCCAGGTGTCTGATGCCCGTAAAACTTATTGGCGGTCAGCATCGTGGTCCTCTTCCCGGTCCACACTACCGCCTTTGAACACTGATAATGATAAAGATGGTTTAGATCCAAATGGGAATAACTGTGTGCAGGGTAGGCGGTTGCCTGTCCCTTTAACCCCTAGATCCCAACAGAATTGTAAGGCTCGGTCATGTTTGCCACCGTTACAACCCCTGGCAATTTCTCGCCGCAGCTTAGATGAGTGGCCAAAGGCAGGGTCTGATGATGTTGGAGAATGGCCGGTTCCTATTACTCCTGGTGGTAGAGATTTGAACAAGAGTGGGGAGAGATTGAAACTTGATTTGTCGACAATTCAAAGAGACCCAGACAAGAATGGTGGGCTTGTTAAGAGGGAAAAGATTGCATTCTTTGATAAAAAGTGTTCCAAGGTGGCAGAACACATATATCTAGGCGGGGATGCTGTTGCTAAAGATAAGGATATACTCAAACAGAATGGGATTACCCATATTCTTAATTGCGTTGGTTTTGTTTGCCCCGAGTATTTTAGAGCCGATTTTGTGTACAGAACTCTGTGGTTGCAGGATAATCCCTCAGAAGATATTACTAGCATATTGTATGATGTTTTTGATTACTTTGAAGATGTCAGGGAGCAAGCTGGAAGAGTTTTTGTTCATTGTTGTCAAGGGGTCTCTCGGTCCACTTCATTGGTGATTGCTTATCTTATGTGGAGAGAGGGGCAAAGTTTTGATGATGCATTTCGGTATGTGAAAGCAGCTCGGGGCATTGCTGATCCGAATATGGGTTTTGCTTGTCAGTTGTTACAGTGCCAGAAAAGGGTGCATGCTTTTCCTCTTAGCCCCAGTTCGTTGTTGAGGTTGTATAGGATTGCCCCACACTCGTCATATGATCCTTTGCATCTTGTCCCAAAAATGTTAAATGATCCGTCTCCATCTGTTCTGGATTCTAGAGGTGCATTTATCATTCATATACCTTCTGCTATCTATGTTTGGATTGGTAAGAAATGTGAAGCCATCATGGAAAGGGATGCCAGGGGAGCTGTTTGCCAAATTGTTCGGTATGAAAAAGTGCAGGGGCCAATAATAATGATTAAGGAAGGGGAGGAGCCACCATATTTTTGGGACGCTTTCTCAAATCTCCTACCTTTGATGGATAAATCTAGTAACGGGGTGGATGTGGTTGAATTTTCAACTAAAATTGGCCCAGGTGATAGAAAAGTGGATACCTATGACATGGACTTCGAGATTTTCCAGAAAGCAATCAAGGGAGGCTTTGTGCCTCCATTCTCGTCATCTGAGACTGAACATGAAACCCATCTTCCTGCAAGAGAAAGCACTTGGAGTGTGCTGAGGCGTAAGTTTGCTTTTGGCAATATGAAGGACTTTGTTTCAGCATCAAAATTGGCTCTTTCCAGGGTCTACCCAGATTCCATGTTGATAGTAGGTGTAGATAATTCTGTGACCAAATCATTAAATTCTTCTGCAAATGTGTCGTCGTCAACATCCCCCTCATCAGTATCGTCTTCTTCTTTTTCTTCTTCCTCATCTTCATCTGCATCTTCATCTTCTTCTTCTTCTCCTTATCTTTCTCCAGACTCCATCTCTTCTGATTCAGGCATCAGTTTGAAGTACTTTTCAGATTCCCCTGCAGTGTCTCCCTCGACGGTGTCATGTTCTCATCCACTATCTTCGACCCAGTCTAGTTTTTCTAATTTGTCACCTTCCTCATCCAAAATTTCTCCTCACTCCATAACTAAGACTTCAGAATTTATTGATGTTAATTTTACCTCAGGGCCTCGTTCTCAATCAGTGTTGTCATTGTCTAAAAGATCTCCACTTTCTATTGCGGAGCGCAGAGGTAGCTTGTCAAAGTGTCTCACACTGCCAGGGGGAAAGGATGTCTCCCCAAGTTTTCTCTCTCGTATACGTGAGCAGCCAATGCGTACTGACAGTTCAAGGGGAAAAGATGTCTCAAGTAGTTTTCTCTCTAGTATACATGATTGTATTAGTAGAAAGATCAATAACTCTATATGTGAACCACATAAAACAAAAAATCTTTTTGAGCCAAAGGGAGAAAAAGATTCAAGTCAAGCATATGAGTTACAAGGATCTTCATGTAGAGAAGCTAGTGCTGATTCATGTGATAACGAAGCTGCTTTCATGAAAACTTCTGATGAACCATGCAGAATTCATCCTTTGGGAAAGAGGTTGTCTGGCTTGACTGGATTGCCGGCTAGTGGTTCAGCATGCCGTTACCCAACACGACCAGATATATGTCGCTGGCCCAGCTTGGAAAAGGTTGTGACATTTGGTGCTGGTGATTTGGACTCCGAAGCTGTATACATTTTTGTTACTCCAAGTTCAGGTTTAGGCAAATGTAAGGATATAATTCTGTATTTTTGGGTAGGAAAGTCTTTCAATCATGGTAAAAGCAAGAATCAACTAGGTAGCAGTGGAGAGTTAGGTGATCTAGAAGAGATTGACTGGAATCAAGTTGGTTCTGATGTTCTTTCACAAATGGCTCTGCCAGAGGACACTGACATAAAGGTATGTATCTTCTTTGGAGTTTCCATTTGATTTTTTTTCTTTTCCTTTTTCTCACTTCTCTGGATTACCTACAAGCTCATTGTGGACTGCATTTTAATTGTTGACTTACTGTTGCTTCATGTGCAATAATATCAAAGGCTAACTACAGAGAGAGTTATATTTGGGGATTAAACCCAGCGTACTTGTTACTTGTATTTGGGATTGATTAGCTGTATTGTGATTAGTTGAAGTTATACAAAACATGAAAATGACTCTCCATGCTTGGAACATAAACAAAAGTTTAACGCTCTCACTTATTGTATGGGAAAGATGGCACAAATTATCACTTTTCTTTTCTTGCAGAAAATTGAGCTGAATTAGATGAAAACAATTGGTTCACAGTCAACTGACTGACATTTGTTTTTATATTTTGGTTTATTACACTTTCTACCTAAACTATCATTAAATTGTCTACTTAGTCATGTACTATCGATTGAGTCTACTAAGTCCCTATAGTATATAAATTATAGTCTATTTAGTTCCTGAACTATCGATTGAGTCTACTAAATCCCTAAAATATATAAATTATAGTCGATTTTGTCTTTAAAGGTGTTTTATTTCGCTGTGTGTTTAAATTAGTATTAGAGTCTAGTTTTTTAGTCTTGCCAATAAAATTATATAAGTATTAGATATACTGAATAAGTAGAATTAAATAATTTAAATAATAATAGAATAAAATAATACATTAATTAATTTATAAAAAGGATTTAGCAAAAAACTTAAAGACAACCAATTAGAAATAATAAACAAAATCCGGCATATAATACTAGATAAAGGTAAGGAAGTAGTTATTGTAAAAGATAAGTAAGAAAATATTATAGATAAATACCCTTACCTTTATAAAGGAAATTCAACGAGAGAATTGACATTCACTTTTCAAAAACAAAATAAAATTTTGAGGTTTTTCTGAAATAAAATCTAAACTAGATAGGTTCTTTTACTAATTTATAATATTTATGGGCTTATATTTTATTTTTGTAATTCTTCCCGGGACTAAATATGTTTGAATTAAATACTTTAGGAACTTAATATACTCAATTGATAATTTAGGGACTAAATAGACTTTGATTTATATACTTTAGAGGCTTAGTAGACTCAATCGATAGTTCAGGAACTAAGTAGACAATTTGGCGATAATTTGGGGGGGGGGAGTGTAATAAAGGGGTAGAAAGTGAATAAACCCTTTAAATTTTAATTAACTTTTTCGACCATATGACGTTCTTGTTACTACAAATTATGAAGATTTGTGTTGATGTGGGACTTCCTATGTGTTTAGATTCGAAGATTGATCTACAAGGATTAATTAGGGAAGATTATGCTGTGTGTGAACACAACTCAACATAATCTTATAAGAAAATTATGTTGTGTGTGAAAGGAGAGTGAACAATGCTATAATAAATAGTTTCATAAAAGAAGAAAATATAGGAAGGAGGAGAAATCATGGAGAAGAGGACCTTAGTCAATGAGGCTTTGTTTGAGATCTGCACCCAAACCTATAGAGGATTTCCCTATTCATTATTCAAGAGAAATCATTTCACTCAACTTTGTTCTTGATTTACGTGGCAGAACTTAGATGTCACTTGTAAACCTTCTAGAAATTGCCCTATCATTTGGCGACTATGTAAGACTCAAATTCCACAATGAATTGTTAAGATTTTATTGAGCTGGATTTCAACCCTAGAAAAGATTTCTAACCAAATTCAAATTATGACTTAATAATTTTGAAACTATAATTGAAGGCAAATGCTAGCAAGTGCCCCATGAGCATTGTTTAATGTTGGAAAGTGTATACAAAGTCTCTTGAAAATATGTACAAATCTTAAAAACTGTATTGATTAAAAAAAAAGTGCATTGATTTAATGAAAAATGTCTTGTGCTCTTCAATTTTTTTTGTCTTTTACTGGTACCCTAGGGACACTTGCTAGTAAAACCTATAATTAAAATATGATTTTTTTAATGTATATTTAAGATATGAGTACCATAGTCTTAGGTTGTTGCTAGAAAATGAAGGTGTTGCATTTTTCTATGTTTGTGTCACACTTGTGGAAAACACCATTCACCTAGATTAGAGTGCAAGGTGAAACTCAGAGGACTCTCTCGCATGGGCACATCTGCTCATAAGGCCTGTCACTCTTGAGACACTCATTTGGGAGTGCAGGACTCAATTAACCTCCTTTTCCTTTTAATTTATTTTGTTTTTCTCTTGCTTAATCAGCTTAGATGGTTGCTTTCAATGTGTTAGTTACATAACCATGTATACATATGGAGTTGTGTGAAAGATAATGCAGTTTTTGTATACTATGGGGGACAAAATCCAGTTATCTGATTGTTTTATTATTGGTGTCGCTACAGACTGTAGATGTTTAAACCATTCCAGTTTCCTTACTGCTATTAGGGAAGCATGCAGGGTAGAAGACTTAAATGAATGATGAATTGAGCCAGGAAAAGAACTGCTACTGATCTTGACTAGAACTGAAGCTGACCATGTGTCAGAAGTTTATGTTGGCGTGTACATAGGTCAAGTGATCCCATTTTACTGGAAGGTCATGCTGTTCATTTACATCCATTAGTTAGAGAGTGATTTGATGCAGACTTTTATGGGAATCAAATAGCTGTCTGTTGGCAAACTTTAGGCTTCTTTCCATATCCCTGTTTGAGCAAGCTATTGATTGATTCCACTACTAAACCAATTATTCTCTTAGTTCTACATGAGCTTCTCACTGTTCAAGAGGCAAGTTCTATTGAGAGTGGGATTGATTGAGATTTCCAGCATAAGCTGTATACCAGCATAGCCAAACAGACCAAATGGCAAGCTTCATTACCATTTGATAAATCTTGTTGGCTGGACTCTTCCATTTACTTCATAGTGCTTTCTCTAAAAGGGAAAACTTCCCATTCCATCAGATGAACTGGTGGCCTCCCTTTTGGCTTTTCCACTGTCCTGTTCCATGTTCTTCCTATGGTATTACACCATGGGATACGAATAAATTGAAGTATCTCTCTGCAGGTGGCACTTTAGGACGCCATGGGATGATTATTGTAAAAGAAATGAAGAAAACTGAAATGATTACTAATGTTATTAATTTATTTTTAATGTTCTGGAAATATATGCTTATCATGATTTCTCATAAGGATGCTAAACAATTTTTTTTGGGGTAAAATGAAGAAAATTATATTAATGAGGCACGGGGGGGTGCAAGACTAGGAATGGCAACGGGCCGGGGCCGGGGACCACCCTCCCCGTCCCCGATCCCCGAAGATTACAAAATCCCCGCCCCCGCCCCCGATCCCCGGCGGGGGAGCCCATCACCCTCCCGTCCCCGTCCCCTAACGGGGATCGGGTTTCCCCGACCCCGAAATATCCCCGAGCTTTTCTTCTTTTTTTTTTTTGAATTTTGTTCAACAACTCACTGACTAATCAGCATATATCACAAATCAAAAAAAATAAAAAATAAAAAATTAACAGATCAATATATAACAGATCTAACAGATGAATATATAACAAATCAATATATAACTAACACAGATTAAAAAAATATATTCTGAACAATACAGATAAACAACAATACAAATCTGAGTACAGATCAACAACATCAGATCAAAGAGAGAGAGATAGAGAGAGAGATAACAGATCTGAGTACAGATCTGAGTACACCATCGTCTGGCACAGATTTGGCGAGATCGACGGTGGCTGTGGCGGTGGGTTCGTTGGTGGAGAGAGAGAGAGACGGACCTTCTGCTCAAGAATAGAGAGAGACGGGGATGAATCGGGGATGAACGGACCTTCGGCTGTGGCGGTGGGGTTGGTGACTGAGAGAGTTGAGTTGAGAGAGAGAGAGAACGAGAGAGTTAAGAGAGAGAGAGAGTTGAGAACGAGAGAGTTGAGAGAGAGAAGATATGAGTCAGAGAGAGAGAGATAGTTGAGAGACAAGAGAGAGTTGAGATCAAAAGTCAAATAAACATTTATATAATACAACTAAAATATTTAACTAATATTTATATAATACAAAGAAGAGATACGGAGGCGGGGATAAACCGGGGAAATTTCGGGGCGGGGGGGGGCCGGGGGGCGGGGCCGAGAAATTAATCCCCGTCCCCA